CTTCATCTTCTTCCTCTGTTCAAACACCAAAACGCGCGTTTTCCACACAAACTTGTATCTCCCGATTCAGTGCTTTTTTGACAAAACTCAAAACATAAAACTTGTAGAGCATCAAACAACGAATCTAACCATATAAAAAACTTAAGCTAACTTTCAAAGACCAGAGAGAATTTCTCTGGCCCTAATTTCTAACCTAGTTTTTTCAGAAAGTTCATGGATGAAATTCTCCTAGCACGATTAATATAAATGAAAACTAAGCACATGTATGGTTTTAGGGCTATGAATGCAAGATCTTTCATTCGCAAACCTAAGTCTAACTATTCCTAAATAGAGAGATAGAAGGTCATGAAATACCTGTTTCAGTTGAGTTCGAACTAGACAATGTAGCAACTTCCAATGGTGCTTGAGGTTCTTTTGAGCTTGCCTGATGTCCACTGAAGCTTTCCCAATGCTTAGTTTATTTTGAAGTGGCCTGAATCGTGCTACAGAACTCAACCTGCAAAGCTTTCAAACAAAAATGGCAATGTGTGTTAATGGAGTTACAGCAACTTGTGAATGGTCTGGATAGCTCAGGTATGTTGATTGGAATGTGTTTGAAGTAGTTTTGGATAAAACGCACGAGGGGATTTGATGGTAGCTTCAAGTTTGCAGAATTGGCCCTGTTTTGCAAGAAAATGGAGATTTTGAGTAAGAGGAGGTTTGAGTGGTGAAGAGCTCGTGCTTCTGGCATGCTAGGGTATGAGAAACTTGTTTGATAACTTTGCTTGAGTTGGTTTTTTCAGATGTGTGTGTTCTCTTGTTTTTGACAAGTTGCTTGGTTATGAAGCAAAATGAGAAGTGACCAAGAGTAGGCCTGTACAGGCTAGCTCTAGCCCTGCATACATTATGCAAGCTTGGCCCCAAGTTTGCTGATTTGGTTGACAGCATAAGATCTTGTTCAAGGCTCAAGGATTAGTGGTTTGACATAAAGCAACCTTTTGCAAAAATGGAAATGTGCTTTTTACCATTTAGGGATTAAACTTGTGTACAATACCCTAATGACCAAGACAATGCATTGGCTCAATGGATATGCATTAAATCATGGAGTACAAACTGGTTTAGAGGCCTGTAATTGTGAACTATTCTAGCTTGGTCAGATTTGACAAATGGTATGAACATGTATGGTCATGGTTACAAAGTGAGTTTTTGCCAACTTCAAGCATTCGATTCTCCCTAACCACAAAGGTGTTTGAGGAGTTCTTGGACAATTTGGAAAGCTTGCAACATGTACTATAATCCATATTTGAAATGAAACTTGAAACTCCAAGTGGAACTATGTGAAAATGGCCAAGAAGATGAGTTAAAATCCTGCCTAAACTAGGGCAAAATTTCTCTAAGTTAAAAGTTTTAGGTACCCTTGTTCCAAAAATCATATTTTGAGAAAACTTTGTGAATCAAAGTTGTAGACTTTGTGATGTACTACAACTTTCATGTTATAAGTTTTGCTTGAATCCAATTTCATCTTGGTGAAAATATGGGGTAAAATTAGGAAAAAATAAGAAAATTTCATAACTTAGAAAATTTCTAAGTTATGGAATTTTTCCATTTTAAACCCTAATTTGCATTTTTGGGTTTCTTGATGAACAAGTTTCATAATTTTACATGTCTTTATGAAAAATTAATCTTGGCACTTGATTTTGACCAAAAAGTCAAAGTTTGACTTTTCAGTGTACAATCAAATTTTGATCAGTTGACTGTAAAATTCATCTGTCAATCCTATGCATTTGAGATATTTTGAACTTGTTGAATAGGTCAAGACAATTTCATTGAGTCCTTGTGTCCATGGTTGAGCTTGTTTTGCCATTGGTTAGGTCAAACAGTCAAAAATTGCCTTTGTGCAGTCAAAACCCTAAAAATGATCATTTTGCTCTTTTGGTGATTTGATCAAATTTCTTGTGGAATTGTGATCCAAACTTGATCAAATGGTTCATATGAGTTCATAATATTGATGTGGGTCAAAATTCATGAGGTTTGACTGTCAATTGGTCACAGTTGACTTTTCCCCAATACAGCTGATTTCTAGGTCAACTGTCCAATTGACTGGGCAAAAATTTGATTCAAGGCTTGAAACTTGATATGGGCAAGCTTGTGAGTCCAACATGAAGCATGAAAGTCATCTTGGGCATTGTAGGTCAAAATATCCCTGTGCAAACTCAAACCCTATTTTAGGTCAACAATGCAAGGAGGTGTCTTGAGCAGAGCAAACCCTAGCTTAATCTTGAGTTCCAAGAGTCTTGTGATGAGAAATGTTGATGAAATGAGAGGGAAAATTTTGGGGTACAACAAATTGTTTTCTAAGTAACACAATGGAATTGGACATCCCTTCTTCAGTATCCAAGTCACACTCATCTTCTGGATCATTAGTGTTGGAGACAAATGTTATGCTCTTCTTCTTTTTAGCTTTTTCACTGATCCCTAACTCAAAGGTTTGAAGGGATCCCATAAGCTCATCAACTTTTATGTTGTTTATGTCTTGAGCTTCTTCAATAGCAATCACCTTCATGTAAAACCTCTTTGGAAAAGATATGAGAATCTTTCTTACCAGCTTGAATTCTGACATTTTCTCCCCTAGGGCACTTGAAGCATTGGCTATCTCAATAATATTCATGTGAAAATCATGAATAATCTCATCCTCTTTCATTCTTAAGTTCTCAAACTGAGTGGTAAGAAGTTGGAGTCTTGACATATTCACCTTGGAGGTACCTTAATGAGCAGTCTTCAGGATCTCCCAAACTTCTTTGGCAATAGTACAATTGCTTATTAGCCTGAAGATATTCTTGTCCACTCCATTGAATAGAGCATTCAATGCTTTGGAGTTTCTCTCTGATGCTTTTTCATCTTTATCATCATAGTCTTCTTCAGCCTTCATCATATTAGTAGCTTTCCCATCAGGACCTACAATCATTGTTGGATCCCATCCTTTGACCATAACTTTCTAAGGCTCGTTGTCCACAGATTTGATAAAGGCCACCATACAAATTGTCCAATAGTCATAGTTGGTTCCATCGAGAATGGATGGTCTGTTCATAAATCCTCTTTCCCTGTCTATTGTACCAGAAAGTATCTTCCCTGAACCTCACCCAGAGTCAGAGCAGGATGCCTGCTCTGATACCAATTGAAATTTTGGTATTCAGATTTCAGATGTCCTAAGAGTTGTCGAGACACCTTTCTCTAAACAAACACACAATGATAAGGTATATGATAAACAAAGTGCAGAAAAGTAAATAACACACAAGATTGTTAACCCAGTTCGGTGTACACCAACACCTACTCTGAGGGCTACCAAGCCAGGGATCAAGTTAACTAAAATAGTATCAATTCGAAGCTAAACTCCCCCATTTATAACTTCTCACTTAATCACTACCACTGCTTAACTTCTAACTAAGACTCACCTAAATATGAGACTAGGGGTGGCAAACGGGCATGCCCACCCTGTTTAGGCCCGCCCAGTAAAAGCCTGCAAAATACGGGGCGGGGCGGGCATAATTGTAGATGAGGGCCTAAAATCTAGGTCCTCCCCGCAAAAAAGTGAGTGCGGGACGGGGAAAGCCCGCGGGCACTACACCTTTTAGGCCTAAAAATGCAAAATTTTATGCTAATAATCATATTCACAAAAGCCCGCGAAGAAAACGGGGCGGGACGGTCACATTAGAGGGCGAGAGCCTAAATTCTTGGCCCGCCCCATACTAAAGTGCGGGTAAAACGGGATATATCCAATGGGTCGGGCCCATTTTGCCATCTCTATATGAGATCTTTCTCACATCCCTTTCAATCACAAACCAGTGACTGGCCAATTCTAAACGCTTAGAAAGACACAAAAGTCACACTTCAAAGACACACAATCATTCACTACATAAAAGCTTTAGAATGACTGACATAACTTACAACTCAAAAACAAAGTCCTACTCTTTCATCAATATGATAATCAAGAGGCTCACAATAAACAGACAAACCCTGACACAATACAAAGTTATAAGTTCGACAGTTGCACTAGGGTTGAAGCATTCTATATATAATCTTCAATGAATTGGATTTGACCTTCACATATGCAGCTGAATATGATAGAGGCGCTGCAGAATTATCTCCTCAAAGATAGGACATCAATCAGTAGTTTTCTTAATTATCTTCATAATTAGAAACTAACAATTCTCCTTCGTATCTGCTTGAATCCTTTTAAATCTTCAAACCATGCGCCACATAGAATAGATAATATTTTACAGAATATTCTGCACTTGTAACAAACTAAAATATCCAACAGTCCAGCTGCACAAAATCATGATGTCGAAAGAACCAGCATAGGACATCGCATTCAACATATTACTCTAGTTGATATAACACCTTCATTCAACATGTCTAAACTAAGTTAATTTTACCAAACATAATGTCAATCACAATAAATAGATAAATAACATTTTTGAATTTTCACCACTTAAGATGAAATTAACAATTTCTTTAAAAAAAAATCTAAACTACCTTAGACTTGTGTAGACTAGACTCTAGACCTCTATTATTTAGTTGACCTATTCTCATCCGTCTTATAAAAAATATTTGAAAAAATATGTTATTTAATACAAGTATTAGTTTAATTTAATTTAATTTAATTTTTGTATTTTATTCTCTCCTACAAAAATGATTTTATTCCAAAACTAAATGAAATAACCTAAAATTTCTCTTTTAAACCAAATGATTTTAAAAAAAAACTTACAAATAAATAAATATATTTAAAACATAAAAATGACGTAGTTAGTGAAAAAAATCATTACGAAAATAGTCTAATATATTTTCCTTATTTATAAAAAAATAAGAAAATAAGTTGGTCTATAATGAAACGACGCCGTTAAGCAAATGAGTAGCATACTGAATCCATAGGTTTACTATCGTGGTAGTCGCAACAAAGAGTTCAGGGATTTATCTGACGAAAACACAAAAACATATAGATTCAGGTTCCAGCAAAAAAGGCTATGGCGACGACGGAAGAGAGTGTGAAAAAGAAAGAAGGTTACAACCTATTAGGTTCACCAACATTCAAAGAGATTGAAAACGGTCGATTCAAATGCGTCGAGACAGATCACGAGGTTCTCCCCAAAGACATACCCTTTTACTCTAACAGCAAAAAATGTCGATTGGGTCTCATCGATTTTGCTCTCTCTAAAAACAAATCCCCTCTTAATATGTTCAATCAAGACCCTCTCTGCCGGTAATTATTCATTCCTGTAACATCATGATTCAATGTTTATGTGTTTGTTTGAGTATTTGGTGGTTTGGATTTTTGTTTGATTTTGTTTGCAGTTCCAAGTTGATATGTAAGTTGACTGGAGACAATGTCAATAAGTCGGAAGAACATATCTGGAAGCATATGACTGGGAAAAGGTTTCTCAATAAATTAGGTTTGTCATTTTTTTTTATTCATTCGGTTTTCGGTGAATCATTTTGTTTTAGATCGATCAATTTCATAGAACATTTGCTATTCTGTGAAGTTGAAAGAGTCTATCTGCTATCAATTGGAAGACCAAAATTATGGTTCACTCTTTTTTTTTTTTTTTTGGAATGATGTGAATGCTTAAATGATATTACAAGGATCGGTTTTTCAACTAATAGTAGGGTATTGACCCGAAATCTTTTCATTTGTGGTAAACACAATCACACAGTTAAGGAATCTTGACTTCTGAATGTTATGTGAGTCGTATATGATGGTTGAATGAGTGTTTGTTAGAGCTTCATTAGCTTATGCGTTTTAGCTTTCATTCATAAACAGATCAACAGGAAGAAGGGAAGTTGTCATGCCAAGGAAAGGAAAATGACGAGAGTTTACAAGAGAAACAAAGTGTAGATTGTGGAAGTAAAGCTGAAATGAAGAAGAAGAACAAGCAGAAGAACAAGAAGAAAAAGAGGACAAAGAAGAAGAAGGATAAGAAAGTTGAAGAGATTATTTCTGAAGTTATGAAGTCTTCTAATGAGGAAACAGACACGGAAGAGGATGACTTCTGGATGCCTCCTGCTGGACAACGCTGGGACAACGACGACGGAGGAGATCGATGGTGTTCAGATTCGGATTCCAAGTCAGAACAGGAAACTGAAGAGGGGGATGTAATTGGTACGTTTACTCTCATAACACATTTTCTCTCAACTTAAATGAGATTTACTGTTTAGAAAGTCGATACTCTAGCTTAGCCTATTGTAAGATGCTGCTGATATCATAATTGAGAGTGAGAATATGAGATGAGTGATATGTCTTATGGTTCCTATTTTACTTGCATGAGAAAAATTCACTGATTAGATAACATTTTTTCCTGTAGATGGTGTTGCTGATGAAGAGTCAGAAGAGTTATCCTCAAGGTATTTTACTAAAGCAAAGAATACATGAAACAAAATAGTTTTCAAACATTAGGACAAATCAGAAAACTTACCAATGTTTCAAATTTATATGTTGAGTTTCTTTTCTTTATACCTTGCAGAACAAAAAGAATGTCGATAGAAGTTGGACCCAGCAGCTTTGCTTCTAGGAAGAAGAAAAGTAAGAAGAACGATGAAACTTGATATACGTTGGTAACTTAAATTTCGTTGAAGTGAAACTAAGCAAGGCAGAACTTTTGCAACAAATGATGAAGTTTTGTCAGATACAAAGTGGACTTTGGTTCGAAATGCTTTTCCCAAATGAACTGTAACATGTATCAAGAATTTGTCTTTTTTTTTTCAATAGATTTTTATGAGATGAGCACAAAACAGTTAAATCTTGTTTAAAATTAAGCAATTATATCATGATTTCACAACAATTACTGTAATATTCCTTTACACCAGTCATATGGGTGGTAAATTTTGGTGAGATTGAATATACTTATAACTTTGGATGAGTTAATAATAGCTTTGGTAGATAAGTTTTCTTGTTATGATTGGATCCTATTCATGAAAAAGAACACCGCTTGCAATGCCAAATGATCAATTATCTATGTTATCCCCAATTGTACTATTATGTGAAGTGTAGCCCAAAAAACACTGCATTCAATTGAGTCACTTCATTTGGTGGAGTTAGGGAAGTTTTCATCAGTAATTTTTTGCAACACTTGTTGATAGATGTCACGAACTTCATGAATCCCAAAGTAAACGTTTTTCCACAAACTACAATTTTATTTTTGTTTTGTTTTGAGTAGGATTGGTTAGGTTTGAATAGAACTATCTTTCCAACCTTGCATTGAAGTTGTAGGTGTGGCGATATAAGCTTTTCCAACCATGCATTTTTATTACTCACAGTCTCTTCCTTGACACCCACATCCTCATTGGCTTCTAGCGGTAACCCCTCTCAGCAAATAAGTTTTTGGATGCAAAAGTTGAGGTGAGGGGTGTTGCATCACTGTTGACAAAGGTGTCATATCCACCAAGTCAGTAAAAATTTCCGGAGTGATATTCTCGTGAGCACTAATCTTGTAGCAAAGCATCATGCTTGGGACTTGAATGATTTAGAGAGTTATTGGGCTTTGACAAATGAATGGTTTTACTGCGTCTGAGTAAGGATGAACCATTTATTGGGGAGTTGCTAACCCCACTCCATGGGATAGAAAAACACCTTATAAAAATCTGAAATTGTCTCTTTGGTTTTGAAAACGAACGCACCATGCACGTCACTCAAACATGACACAACTGAGTCTTATCCCAATTTTTTCTAAATTTTTTGGAGATATATTTCCGGAACAACTTCATGTATATCTTATGCATTCCTCATTCGAACGTATTTTGACATAAATTGTTCTAGAGATACATCTCCGTATTCACATCAGACATAATTTAGAGATGTATCTCCGGAATTACACTAGACAGTAAATTTTGACTTTGATTTATAGATGCTGTGATGAATTTGACCAAATATTACAATATATTATAGCTATAATATAATTTTTAATTTTGTATAAATTAAACCACACACTTTTGAAATAATATGAAAATGACCTATATTAGTTAATAAATCCTGAGTGCACAATAATGTTAAAATAAAATAGGATCGATAATAGTGCTCCTAATACAAATATTATATACTACTGTGTATGACGGACTTGAGATGTACTGGAATGTCTCATGTGCCTTCTCATCATAGCATCTAAAATGTCCCTCACCTATTAGAGCCATCTGAAAAGAGTCCTCTATCTATATCCACCTGTCTAATCTCTATGATACAACGACATCTAGGCAACACATCAATAACATGATTTGTCCTATATACCACTCCGACTTTATATTAATATGCTTATTTAATTATTTGAGTGTCTATATGTGTTGCTCGATTTATTTAAATTATTATGAATTATTTTAGTTATTTTGATGTTTTGTGGGATTTAGGAGTATTTTAGTAATTTAGTAATTATTGGAAATACAAAGTTTGAGAGTGGAGAAATAAAATATGGTTTATTTAAATGATAAGAAATAATTAAACATTTTAATTACTTAGAGCTAATTGAAATTATTAGAAATAATTTATAGTGTTATTATAATATTAAAATAATTACTTAGTTAAATTTTTATTTAATAGAATTAAAGTGTTATTTTTAATTAGAAAATAGAATTTTATAAAATAAAATAATCATTGTGATATTACCATTAGAACTTCTCAGAGTCATATACTTGAGAGGGAGTGTGAGTGAGAGGGGTTCAATCTTGTAATTCTGGCTTAGTTCCAAATTTGAATCCTTCCTTAAAGCTAACATTTCACCTAATTTAGATAGAAGACTCGAAGGTTTAAGCCTAGTAAGGGATACACCAGATGATGGCAACTCTGCATTAAAGGAAGTCTTCAAGACACACTTTGATATGTTTTACAATTGCAAAATATTCGTCTTGACTATGATCCCTTTTATCATTCGAAACTATGGACCAGATTGGTTCAGGAAGGCATTCCCAACCTTTTTGTCTGAAGACCAACAAGAAACTCACCATATTTAGATGAAATTTTACAAATCCTCTATCTTGTCGACTAAACTATGTTCTTCTAGATCAGGTATTAGAGTGGCTTCCTATCAACCAAACTTGATAGCTAGGAAATTGGCTTAAGCCAATTCTCAATAAAATCCCTTTTAGCTAGAGAAGTGCCATTCTTTATTGCTATTGATGAACTTGATGAAGAATGGTATCAATTTTTTTTAAAATTTTACACCAAAAAAGTTATGCACCTTAATCCTTTCGAATTCTCTCATTCTTTCCACTATACAAAAGAATTTGAAGATTGGTGGTTCATATACTACCATGGCGTGACAAACCCTTTATTCATCGTTCAATGCCTAACATATGCCTTTTCATTTCTACAGAAACAAACGAATAAAAGCAGAATGTAATACAATGGGGGAACTAACTTTTTGGTTTTATCCAAATGTGCGCATAGCTAGAGTCGCACCGACTTTTCTTTTATCCAATATTTAGGAAAGGTGAAAAGAACAGGAAAGACCTTTGATAGATTTTGAGTTCGGGGGATAAGTTATGAAAAGGGAAGGTGTTAGAACCCTTTTTATCCGTAGTTATCTACTGGCTCTTAATTGCTTAGCTCAATTTTGAAAATCTTGCTTTGTGTGTGTGATTTGTTTGAAAATATTTTGAAATCGCCAATGTAAAGCTGACTTTGTAATGATTCTTGTATCAGTCCTCAAGAACGTATACAAAGTGTTATTTTTGCAAATATTTGTTTGAAAGTGTAGCGTGGAATTTTTTTTGAGAAAAGTTGTGAGCAAGAAATTAAGAGTTTCTTATCCACTAAAATCTTTCTTATTCTTTTCCTTCTCCTTTAGAGATAGTACTATCCATACCATTAGTTGGTAGGCAGCCCTATCTATTGGATTTGAAGGGACATGGGTAGGGTAATCGTATGGTGATCGAAGGCAACAAGTAAGGATACTTTAGCAATTGTATCGAAAAGACTATCATCATTTTGTAGGAAACTCGAAGGGACTAGATCATTTTGTAGGCAACTCGAAGGGTCATCGAGGGATTATGATATTTATTCGAAAGGGACATGATGATTTGATCGAGGGTCTTTTGCTAAAGTATCTTCACTTTCGAGGGACGTGACCAATATCATAAGGTAACAAGAGAGGTTATCCTAGAGGTGCAAGTGTGCGAAGTGTATTGATTTTGTTATTTATCTTGAATATTAGGGTTTTCTAGATTATTTTTAGTCTTGCCACACAAACCCTAGTAACTAGCAGTTAAATATGTATAGAAAAATAAAGTGCGGAATATAAAGTCCTAAGCTATTACATGGCTTTGGGAGATGTACATAAGTATAAAAATTCGCGAGAAAGTATACCTACGCTATTACATCTTGTGAGCAGTTACATAATTAGGAAAAAATGCGAGAAAAGAAATCTACACTATTAAAATTAAAGAATGCAACCTATGCAATTTCCTATGAAATTTAAATAGCAAGAAGAAAGAAAATAGAAAAAGAATGTTAAAATGTTTTATGATTTTTTTGTAGAAAATAATTTAAGTTAATAATAGTAATTAAAACCTAAATCCTAATTTATTTTAATATTAAAAAAAAACCAATTTAATTAATTAGTAAATAAAAAATATAAGAAAAAATTAATTACTAATTAAAACGCTAATCCTAATTTGTTAGTTATTAAGAAAAAGATTAGATTAGTTAATTGTTAATTAAAAAATAATTAAGAAATAATTAAGAAAGAAAATAGAAAAATTAGGTTAGAAAAATAGGGTAAAAAAAACTGCATGGGGTGGGTGTTGAACCCACGCCACCTAGCTTCACAAACTACACTGCTTACCACTAGGCCAAGTGCCTGCTGGTGTTTGAGAAATAAGCATTGATATATATATATATATATATATATATATATATATATATATATATATATATATATATATATATATATATATATATATATATATATATATATATATATATATATATATATATATATATATATATATATATATATATATATATATATATATATATATATATATATATATATATATATATATATATATAACATGTGCGTTTGTTTGAAAAATAACAAAAAAATAACTGTAAGACGCAGGGATCGAACCCACACCCTTCACGTTACATGCCTCCGTCTCAACCAACTGTGTTGCGCTTCGTTTATGTTATTAAAATATAAGCAAACAAATATATAATAAAGCAAGTGAACCAGGGAAGCGCCGGAGCCCTAACTCCAGTCGTCTTCTCCGGTGAGAGGATTTTCAAACTTGCAAAATAACGTGTGTTAGACCATAAAAAGGATCCTATCCCCCTAATTTGACCCTTGCAAATCCAACAATGGTGTTTGTTTGACCTGAAAACACTTGTATCATGAGCTTCAAAGAAGACATCTCAAATTGTCCTAGCCATGGAAAAACCCGATTCTCACGTTAGAGCTTCTGTTTTATGATTCAAACCTGTTCTAAGTAACAACATGAACTCATTTGGAAATTTAATGAACAATAGCAATGAATGAAATTAATTAAATGAATGTTTGAAAGAAAAGAAAATAAGAGAAGACGAGTATGCTTGTTTCAAGCATCAATGGCCATGGATTTCA